TGCTCGCAAGACCTTTAAGGATAGTTGAGGCAGCTGCGGCGAAATGGGCAAGAGAAAGGTTTCATGAAGGAGAAGAGCAGGTGTCGACCCATATAGAGGTTAAGTGGGCCAGTGAGTTTGTGCTTCCTTCAGCGTCGTTACGCACCGTCCTGCCCGAGTTCCTCGTGGAAGAGTTTTTCAGGGACGAGCAAGGATAGAGGCAGCAGCAAAAGCCTCTTTGAGGATGCGAGAATGGGGGTATAGGCGTTACACGTGTGAGATGATATATGGCCTATACGTAGATTTAAGGTGTCTACCCCCTAGTCAAGGGCTTCGAAATATGGCCAATATTGTGGACGCCTATGCCTGCTCCCATGAGCCGGGTGAAAAGGTAGAAGATTGGAGTGAGCTTCGAGCAACAGCATGTCAATAGAGGATGCCTCTATAATTAGTAAGCGCGACCATCATTTGACCGAGATTCTTAGAGGCTCGTCTATGACTATTTTACTATCAAGCACGATCACAGTGACTAGTGGCAGTTGTAACAACTTCTGCTATCAATCTATAACTTGTTTTAAAGACTTTATATCTGCGTAGGTTGTATATTCCTTATTGTACCCTTATGGTTAGAACAAGGATAACTGGAGTTTAAAGCCTTGTCAGACGAGCAATGAAAGGGCTAGTGTGATTGAGTATTGACAATATTATTTGCCCCTATTTGTTTTGAGCATCTCGGGCTACAACCTGATGTTCCGTTACTTGTCATATATGCCAGGCCAATTGTAACATCATGGCCGAAGAGAGTGGTTTGGCCAAGATCCTGCTCTGGAGGAGCTCATGCCTCACGAAGGTGCTGCTGCATGAGTCGGTGCACGACTCAATGGCCCCAGATCTCCAGGCCCTGCTGTTTCGAGGAAAAAAATTGTTCGACTTCCTGCACGACTACCATAACCTTAGCTTCGTGAAGGTGTGGGACGAGAAGGCAATGTGCAGCATGTTGCCATTATTTGTCAGTGAGGAGTTAAGTGAGGAGATATATACCCTCATGTTGAAGTCACGAACTTGGGCGAACTGGAAAATTCTTTAAGGTTGAGATTTCCAGAAGATGGAGTGGAGAGCCAACATTGTGGTAGCCCTGGGCAAGTAATTGGGGATGCACCACCACGAGGCGAACTAAGCGGCATACAGAGACAAATGGGGGTATTGGAAGAAAGGATGGCGCGACTAGAGGAGGCCAGGAAGGGCACGAAAAATCTCGGAAGGAATGTCAAGCGAGGCAACTGGTGGGAAAGGAAAGGAGATGGTAGATGGCGACCGAGGTTCTTCCCACCTCACGAAGGTTCAGAAAAGGTGGTCTGGCGTTCAAGAGAGGGAAGGAGGTAAGCGGTGCCTCGCGTAACCCTGTCCTGTCGTAGGGGCTCGCGAGAGGTACGGCTGGCGCACTTGGCCGGAGCGGCAAACGCTCTCCGCGACAAGTCCTGCCAAATCCTGCGTGACGCGGCCGGGAGTGTCCCCCTGCGGGACCGATGCGCTCGACAGCGAGGACCATGCTCCCCCCCCCCCCAAAACAAAGAAAAGAATGGAAAGATAGGGTGGCACAATTTTTGTCATTTGTGCATGTGGTGAGTGACAACACTGCTGTCCCCTTGTGGACGACGGGAATGAATCTTGACCTATTTTGCGGAAGATACAGAGAAGGTTAGCATGGCCTCGGGGCAACTATGAAACGCATAAATAGAGAACTCGTGACGAAAAAAAAAAGATTTAACGTTTTTTGTCGTTTGTGCATGTTGTGCTTGGTATAGCAAGGCCCCTCGTCCTCCGCGATCTGCCTAGGGCGTGTTGCACTTCAGTCCCAATAAGAATGAATCTTCTGTTAGTCTGTGGAAAGATACAGAGAATATTACCAAGGCCCTGCGCATCCTCATCTTTTGGCACTCCGACACCCATAGCGCTGAGGGCTCCTTTGGCAGCGTTGGCCGCCCAATGGGGAAAAGAGAAAACGTGCAGGGGAAAAAGAAAGAAAGGAAAGACAAAGGGGAAAAAAGGGAAACCACCACCATAGAATTACTAGTCCCCTTCATTGAAGGACCGGTAGCCTGCTATATCTCGACTGCTCACCAGCTACTTTCTCCTAAGACAAACAGGTTCGGCAACTTGCCAGAAAAAGGTTCGAGAAGGTGGCTCGGAAGGTACTGGTGGTTTAAGGCAAGTGTAAAATTGTGTTTGACCTGGGAAGGTACTGGTGGTTTAAGGCGAGTGTGCAAGTGCGAGTGGATGCTGTCTCTAACATCCGGTATCAGAGCGGCGATTAGCCCTGACGTTGCACGTGTTAGGAATCCACAAAACTTCAACTTCTTCTATGCGCCACGTTCAGACAAAGTGAAGTGAGGATCAATCTTGAAGATCACAATTGGAGAAAAGCTTTACACCAAGCTCACATTGAACAATCACACCAGCACACTTTATGAAAATTAAAAAGGTGATGTCCACTTGAGGATAAGGCTGCATTGAGCAGTCTGCAACAAACGCTGCTGCTCCTGCATGGGTCCTGAAGACCATCTCACGCAAGTGTGTACATGTCACGCATTATCCTTGCACACATTGATCAAGAGTCTCACACAACAGACAAAGATAGATGAGAAGAGAACCGAGTTGCACAACGTATATTATCAAAAATATGATTACAAAGAGTTTCATAGTTCCCCAAGTCCAGGTCTCATCAGCGCAATGTAAATCCCTTGTCAACTCATCATCATGACTTCAGCACATCAGTGCTACTTCTGCAGATTGTATCCAAGTCATCAAGGTGATCACTACTCTTCAGCGCCACCTCTTCAG